AAATATTTTTTAAAAAATCCTCTGATTAAATTGTTACACCTGCTCAAACAATGGTGGGACTTAATAGGCATATTTTCTTGTGCATGTTTCTCTTCCATTAGTACTTCAGTCTCACTGCATATATAGATATATATTTAAAAGTTAAAGAAAGATAAAACAACAAGCAGAAGGGACACAACACAATATGCATTTAAATCTTTGTTTAAGAACAAGCAGCTAATTAAAAAAGGCAAAATACAGGAAAAGTGCATCAGTTCCAATGAGTTAGTATAAGAAAGAGGCCAACAGGTGGAGAGCAGGCACCCTCTGGGGTGGAGTTTCCTAGAAGACCTCTGATTGTCTACAAAGATTATTTAAAATACATTTTAAACAGAAATAATTAAAAAAAATAAATGAAAGAAGAGAGGAGAAACATGACACTTCCAGATCTTTTTTTTCCACAAGGTTTCTTGGGAACTGGTACTCAACAGCTTCCAGAGGGGGCAAGAATTCATTTGTGCCCGGACCTCTGTGTTCATTCACGCAACGTGAGTGAGCCGTCCCCGTGTCTCAAGCAGAAGGCCTGTTCCTCTTGAACTGTGCAAGGCTAGAGGACTCCCACAGGCTCGGGGCCCATGTTTGTGCTAAGTCACTTAGACCTACTGCCTCTGATTTTTGTCAGCGCAAGACCTGCTCGCTTCCATGGGTTAAAGCCGAGCCAAACACTGCTGGCTTTACACCTAACAGAATAACTTTGTCTTCTCATAAAAGAGTCCATTTCCAGGTCTGGTGCATTTCAGAACAACAGATGTGACGCTGAGGAAGCTAGAAATGACCATGGAGACAAAGTGTCACCAACCTCAACTCATTTTTGCTATATTTCATACAGATCAGTATTACTAATTTTATTTTTTTTTTTAAGAAAAACACATAACAATAGAAGAGGCTTGTTTTATCTGGTGTTCCCAAGCCCCATTCTAATCCTTCACCCAAAAGGTTGCCTCTGAAAACAAGGCTACATGCATATTTGGGGAAGGTCGGCAGCACTCGGGAGTTCAGCACACATTCCCTTTAAAATGGAGCCTTCAGCCAACAGCTGAAGTCTCCTAACAGAGCCCATGTCTTTGTGCTTAGTTACTTTTAGGTAAGTTGAGCTCACAGTAGGCAGTAACCGGACTGCCACTATGTGACAGCACTGGTTAAGGAGTAGCTTTGTATATAGGACCATCCTATTTTTGGCTTTCTGGTAAGGCTGCTTCATCTAGTGACTTCTCCTCTAACAACGGATTTGGTCCAAAGGTATCCAGTCTCCAGCCTGAGCTTGATAGTTTTGAAGTCAAATTACATTCAAAAATCTCACAAGCCACTTTGCCTTTTGCTAACAATGTACCAAGTCTTTGTATTTTATGCAGAAGAATGGAGTGCTCAGTCCCATCAACTGTAAATATATTTACACTTCAGTGGACTTAGCAGCTAAATACTCCTTCCCTCCTTTAAAGCATCATTGGAATGAAGAATAAATGCTAGCAAATCCTAAAGCAACAACAAAATACTGATGAAAGCTGTGACAAGAGAAAGGAATCTTAACAACCACTCCTGAACTCTGTATGTACTGTTTCCATGAATCCCAGGAGAGACTGCAAACACTCCTGGAGTTCTATACAACACACAAATGCCTTTTATTTCATTCCTCAAAGAGCAACTTTCAGAAATGTTTAGCGTTAGGAAAAAGTAGTCTTCATTCACCAAGATCAGTGCGGTACCTCTCCTCTTCTGGAAGGATTGCTTTCAGTTTAGGATGCACTGCCAACAGCTTGTGCTTTGAGGGATAATTCTACCACATTAACCTTCTACAACGTTCTGGAGGTCAAATACCCTCTATTATGGGCTCCTTGTGTTGGTGCAGAAAGCATGCTATAGTAATTAAAAAAAACCTCTTTCCGCCCAAGAAGGCTAAGCTTAGCACAGTACTAGCGCCATATGGAGGCACCACCAGGTGTCTAACCCTATGACGTGCAAAACCAAGACTGTACAATGCATATGAAAATAAGACAAGCAAGAATACAAACCCCCAGTGGGTCAGCCAAGGGGATTCTCCTTTTATCATCCACATAAACAGTACACAAGGCCAGATGGAGGGCTTGTTTTCTTGTACTGAAGACATTTGCCAAACACCTCTGCCTTCCTCTGGACTCCAGCTTTATGATATCTTACAGTGAATAGATGTGGTAGAGGACAGCACAAATCCTTGAAGCCTGAATTACTGCAGTCCCAGCAACTCCTGCTGGTGAAACATCGGTATCGCCCACAGCCAAGACAGCCACCCAAAATCCAGTTTTGAAGAAACAGCGTGACTAAAGCAGCATGTGAGCCAATTTCAAGTCATGTTGGAATAAGGTGAACAAATGTAAGTGCAGTTGTGTCATCTGCCATGCACAGAGAAAGAGGAACTTGAAACAGAGTCAAGTAGAAACACCATCCATCAAGATAAAGCCCCAATTATCCCTTTTAAATCCAGCAATGAAACAGAGTGCATTTTTTCTAGGAAACAGAGTGTACAGTACCCACGTGCAGCATAAAAACATTTCACAAAAAATGAAAACATCCCTTTTGAAAATCTCAACAAAAATAGATCCCATTGGGACCAGACTGTCAGTGCCTCCAAAAACAAGGCAGAAAAATCCAGCCTACAAAACATGCCAAAGGTGACCAGTAAGTACCCCACTAACTTCTGAAACTGCTGACTGCTTTATTTACTGCGAAAAAGAAGTATGACATTTGTATTTAAAACCCTAGGCGCCGTGTTAATGAGTTCACTAAATTACCCTTTAAGCTCTGTTCTCTCCTGACAACTACTTAAAAAGACATCTATCTGTCCGTGGGGAAAGGTGGAAGCAACATCTCTTGGCTGTGCAGGTCAATTCTGCTGGGCATCAGAGCAACAGAATTCTGGAAACCCTGAAGAATGACAAATATGATCCAAAACCATCAACTTCCAGCCCATAAGTTCTCTACTGGTCAAATTTCTCAAGACCAGATGCTGACAGCAAACAGCAATGTTTCTTTCAAAAATTTTTGCAGGCCTAATTGCTTATCACTGAGCTTGTCCTAAGGGAATGGAGAACAGGCGGATGAGCTAAGTACAACATGAAGAGCCAGACCATCCATTTATTGGCTACGTATCTTGTATGAGGAAGAAGAAGTGGCACTTTGATTTCAATGTAATTATGTTTTCAGACCCTACTTACAACTTCGGAGAAAAAATTGTTGTAGCTACACATTGCTCTCCCTCCCTCAAGGATACTCAGACAGTAAACGGTCTGTCTGACATTTACGTTTTGATTCTGGAATGGAAAAAAAATATTTTAGCATTTCTGTAAATAGTTCTGCCTTGACTAGGCAGTTATTGTAAGGGGCACAATAAACAAACCCCAGCTATTTAGCTTTGCTTACAGTTTTCTTTGGAGGTAGCTGCCCCTCAACACCTATGTGGCAGATACACAGACTGTGCCAATTCAGCTCTTCATTTACAGGCGACCTCCTCGCTGAATCCTGCAGTTCACAGCATCAGAATAACTGACCATATCAGGCCTAAGAGATGCTTCAGTCAACCAACCCACTTGACCAGAGTAACCAGTGCTTATCAGAAACCAGCAAATGTGTCTTTCCTAAACAAATTCCTGCAGCAAGCACCTTCCTACCTCAAATGCCCTAGTATGCCAGAGGCTTTCTGCAAAAATGCATTTGAACAGGAGAGAAAGGGCCAGGGCTGCACAGATAAAGCTCCTGCCTGTGTTCCTCCAAATACTCTGAGAACAGGCAGAGCGAAGGGATGCAAGCCGTCTGAAACCTAATGCTTATTTGATGCAGATCTTGAGCCTGATGCAAGTTTCCCACATCTTTAATGGAATGTAAGGTAAGCCTTGTTACTCAACATGTAAAGCACAGGTCTACAGCAAGTGGCTGGCAGTTCATCCTACTGTGGGTCGCATGACAGAACTAGATGTCCCTCTCTCCTTTTCCTTTTCTCTAAAAAAAAGCACAGAAACCCCTTTCCAACCCTCCACATTTGCATCAAGTCTGATCCTGAGCAGCTCTAAATAGTTAAAAATACAAAGTCATGCTCGTAAGACAGTTTCCAGTATGCAAACACTGGCAGAGCTAAGTTGCAGTCCTCTATCAATCGCAGTTTCCTTAGTGTATTGTCTAAAAAGATGTTCAGGTAGCAAAGCAAAAGAGTCTGCTGACAGGCTCTGTGTACATGGCCCAATTGTTTGCTGTAAGAAAAAGGGAATAACTTCAAACAATTGAAAAAAAATTATCTGACAACTAAAATATAGAAAATGCAGAGGCACCTTCTCTTTCCTTCCTTTTTTCCTACAGACCACCTGTAAGAGAAGTGCAAAATAATTGTTTTCTGACATCTGAGAAAAAGGTAACATCCAGGTTAAGCCTACACAGGTTTCAGCTAAAGCTTTGGAACAGAGGCTTTGTTTGCTGCTACTGGTTTGTACTCCTGATGTGCCTACAGAAGAGAGACTGCTGTGCAGCTACAGACGATCTGTCCAGAAGTAGTTTCCTCCCTTTTTAGTTCATCACTTCTACTGTTCTGGCTACAGAGGTAGTAAAAAACAAAACTCCAACAACAACAAAATAAAACAAAGCAAAACTGAAAACCAAACAAAACAAAAGGAACCACACTCTTGCTATACTGTACATTCAGAACCCTGTGGCCACGTTGTTGTCCTAACAACGAACAAATTCATTAAAAAATTCAACATTAACACACGAATGTGCAAAGAGCACATTCCAAACCCAGTGCTGTGGTAAAGCAAGTGTTCGTCCACAGGGAGGGAAGGGGATTCTGTGAATCATCAGGAACAGAGAAAGGTTATTTCTGGCAGCCTACATGCTAACGTAAACAGGATCCGTTTCTCCTTTTAAAGTTCCGTGCCAACAGAACTATTGAAATGTCATTTCCCACCAGAGGAGACTTCTCTGTAATAATTAAAAAATACATTAAAAAAAGGGAACCATAGAGCAAGAGACTATTGTGTTCCCACGCTGGCAGCTGGTAGAGTAGCCCCTGTGTTTGCATTGGCATTTTGCTCCAGATGTTGTCTTCCATTCGTCAAAGTGAAAAACTGAGGCTGACAGATGCTCTCAGGTCACCAGGGCCTCAGTTTAACTTCATTTGGCTTTCTTTGCTAGAGAGAAAGGAGCATGTTTTTGTAGTTGTGCTTCAAAGGTCCACTTCAACTTGGCTGCTCCTCAGTTAGCAAACTGCTGGTAAAAGGCAAGTTTGACCCTCTCAATGTGATGGCAAAGTTTAATGGCTGGTCCAAGCTTCAAGTCCATACACTCCTGAACAGTGGGCAGGGTCAGCAGCAGTAGTGCCTGGCCATCGATTTCCTGTCAGAAGACAAAAACTCCATGGTGACTTTGCATTTTTATTTGCCCTGCTCCTTCAGTTTGACTTGCTGTAATTTCAGATTCATGACCATTTGTGAATTACAAGTTTCTTTCATGCTACTCCAGGAAGCTTAAAAAACCCCCAAAATTCTCTCACACAAAATTAACTCCTTTCTTAAAATGTCAGCTTAAATTCACTGGCTAAGGGACAGAACATCATGAGATGTTATTTTAAAAAAATAAACCTAAGAACAGAAACCAAGAAGATTTCACGCAGAAAGTCCCTTTTCCTAACCTCTGCATCTTTCTGGAGAAACAGAGGTTCTACAAGGAAAAGTACATCTTCTGGAACACCTATCATAAACTATACTCATTACCAGTTCCAGTATTGCAGTTTTGATAGATTATGGTTTTTTTATGGCAAATTTTAACCAAGATTCAAGAACAATGTTAACTTGACTCATGTTTGTACTCTAGTCATCACACTTCAACACAAAATGTTTGCTTGTGCAGCTGTACAACACTGTGATACCTGCAGTTAGTCTGCAGAATGGAAAACATCATCTGGAAAAGTCAACACAATTGGCAAAACCGTATCTCCTAGAAACAGGCTCCTGCCTTCTTGTTGCTGGGTTGTAGGCATTCTCTGTAGTGTTGGGATTTGGATGCCCCACAGACCAAAACATCCTCCACCGAGTACTAAGAAACCTGAAAAATTCTGGCCTTAACTCTCCTCTCCCAAACTGTAGAGGGTTGTGCATGCGTTTGTTTCCTCAAAACCCTGTTGTAAAATTTAAACTAGCTTCTTTTTGTGATTCATTAGAGGATAAGAAGAAAGTATTCAACGTTTTAACAGACAGAAAATCATACCTGATCAAGGAAAATTCTTGCCAGTGGTGCACAGTCAGTGGATTTGAGGAATCGTACAACATCAGCCACGCTCCACTCCAGAGGGTTACTGTCCAGCTGCAGCTTTTCAGCAACTTCCATCTTTATGTCCTAAACAAGCCATCCAGCACAAAAAGAATTCCCAAAATATTACATATGCAATGGATCAACACTCCCTTCCACTCCCTCACACTCAAACTTTCAGCTGCCAAATAAAGCTCTAATGAGAGCTCAAAATTGTAGAGGTTTCTTGGTTAGCAAAGATGTGCAGCACTGTGATGAGGGTGGAGGCTGTAACATTTTATAGCCAGTAAGCAGGGATCTAAACCCAGGATTTGTTCGACACCACATCACTGCGCAGGTGGAACCAAGGGGAGTGCTAACAGCTGAGACATGGAAAGCTCACCACTCTGTCTACAGCTTTCTGTTTAGTCTTTATGACAGTCCTGTAATACGACTGTAATAATGTTTTAAGATTATTCTGTAGTTTCTTCACGATGTCCTTTTTGGGGTAACAGCGTATTTTATGAGAACACATGTATGATGGTTAATACTCCCAAGATATTCGTGCCTGCCCAACAGTGAGCAAGCTAGATTCAAAGTTACCTTTGGTGAAGGAGGTTTATTTTCATCATCAGAAAAGGAAAAGGTCCTGAGTTTCCTCTTCCGCTTGTCTCGGTCCTGAGCCAGCGAATGAGACCGTTCACTCTGTGTAGGAGAGGATGAAAGTGATTTCTTCTCTGATACCTCTGATTCCTCAAGCAATTCGTCTTGGTGCTCTGAGGTACTATCCTCAGTCAGGGATTCTTCATCTACCTCGTCCTGGTCATCCTCCTCTTCTGCTCCACTGCCCTGAAGAGGCAAGAAAAAAAAAAAAGTGATGAAATTAAGAAAATGGGAAGTTTAGGACAAAAGCTACAATTGCCACCCGTTTGTCAGCTGTAACCTAAGGTTACAAGGAACTAACAGATGAAGCTGGTCAAAGATCACATACTGTCTCAAAGTTGGTGGCAGTCTCATACCTGGGGAGATCCAGCTGGAGTGTTATCCACTGAAGCAGAGGAACGTTTTTTCTTATGAACAAAAAAATGTTTTCGTCTCTTCCGTCTTTTATTTGGTTTCTTGATGGCTACTTCCAGGTTACTGTGGCCACCCGGGGGCCTACCTATCCGCTTGTTTTTCCGCTTTCCGTAATAGTGTGCTACCAGGACAGAAGAAAGGAGCACCATGTTGAAATGCACCTTCAGCGTCACTAGTTATGTTTGCCCATCATCAGGACTGGAAAATCAGTAGAAATCCCCAATAGAAATCCCAATTCTGCAAAACTTCAGAATGATTATGTCTATATTTTCCTCTTCAATTTGGTCTAAGGAAGAAGTTACTAACCAATTTTATTTGCCCTATAAAGACTTATTCTTCCATCTCTGAGAGGCCCAAAATGATCAGATTTTATACAAAAATCATCAGCCACAGACTTGGTCCAACTTAATGGCACTTTTTGTGATATTTTGTAGTTTTTAAACATGGCCTCAATGCAATGTTTGTTCTCACAGTGTCAAATGGTTAAAGTTAGTTTAAAAAACCCTAAAAACCTAGAAGACCTAAAAGCTAAGAAAAGAGCTTGAAGGTATTTTATTTTATTCCACAACAAATTGGTAAAAGCAATTACAATTCCACTTAAATTACAATATTAGAGTCAGTACTTGTCCCAAAAGTTGTCTTAAGAAGATAAAAGTTTTAGGCACACAAGTTAATTCATGGTACTACCACTTCATATAAAATTGGGGTTTTTGTCCCCTACACACTGGCACATGGATATTTTGTAGGCCTGTTTATGTAGTGCGTGAGCTGCTCCTTGTGTAAGCAAAGCAATGTATTTTGGATTCCTTCTGGAGCCAAAGCCAGAAGAAAAGCAAAATATAACACCCCAAGCCCCACCTCGGTTTGAGATCAGCAGCCTACTCACTGTACTTCGTCTTTGTCAGGACAGAGCAGTTCTCTGAACACTTATCCAGCACCATCTGAGGGCCGAAGAGGTTTGGACAACATTCCAGCTTGATGCATGTTTTTCTACAGAAATCTGCCACGCGATCTGCCGTCCTCACAACTTCCACAGTTGCTCGATAGCTCTTCCCTTTGTACCTAACATTGAAAATGTGGTCATCATGCAGGAATACTCCGGTTACCAGGATAAAAGTACTTAATTGAGAGATGTACAAGAATGTTTCTTTGAGATCAAACTCAGGGAAAATCTCAGCAGTGAGGAACTTTATGGACTAACAAGTCCGGGAAACACACAGTCCTGTCTCCTATGACAGATCCTCAAGCAAGCAAAGCCAGCACCAGCGATGCCTGCAGTACCAAACACAGCAACTCTGCCCTGCCAGCGGCTATCAAACACCATCCGAGAGGACTACCCCAGAGTTCAGATGTTTTGTTTCCCTTATTCACAGATGGTTTGTTCTTTCTTTGTTTCCATGGGCCTGCAGAAGTGTCCATTGTGACGTGGACAGCTGGTCCCTAAAAGCATAACGCAGTGAGTGCACCAGTTCAGCTAATGAAGGTAACAGCAGACAGCTTCCAGTGAGCTGTTCTATGCACATACTATGGGAAACAACTGAACTACTGTCACATTTCCAATCAGCTTTCATCTAACTGTTGAACAATTTGTCAGGACAGTCCCTTGCCATGACTTCAGATCCTGCTCCTTTGCTGCTTTGATTTAAATTAAGAAAAGATTTCTTTTTGTTCATCAGCCTTGCCATGACACTGACAGAGCTGCATCATGAAATATCTGTCTGAGTCATTCATCATTTTTCCTTTGTTCTCCCAGCACAGCTACTGGCACATGGATGGCTCAGGCCTGCAAGTATCTAGTTAGTGCACTGAAAAAAAAAAAAAAGAGCTATATCATCACAGTCCAGATAACCCTGGCGTCACTAATGTGACAAAAGAAAGCAAACAGCAACTTCAGTGAAACCAAACGAAATATTTATTTTCCCTATTCTTCAGATATATCTTGTGTGGAAATGCCATGGAAGTCTTAGCAGCTTCCTAAGCAGTATGTGCTTCCGCTTTAAGATACTAAGAATTATCTTCAGGTGATTTAAACTATCTTAAACCTCACCCGCAGGTCTGCCAGTGGATACACTGTGTTGTACCAGTACCACGCCATTCTCACCTCACCGCTAGTTGCTTACATGCCAGTAGCAGAGCACACCTGGCGTATGAAGGAGCATTAAAATCTGATGCACTTCACTAGAAAAGAAACTAAGATTTGGAAGTTTGATCTGTCAGCATCTTCATCTGCTACAAACAATTTTTCCTTCTCTGAAATGTGAGAAGTTAAAGCATAGACTGCAGAGAACATTGCTACTGGGATCAACCAAGTGGGAAACAGGACAAGAATTTACTTGGCTTTTAGGGTCTCTCCATGCCCATGCCATGCAGCCTCTTCATCCAACTGCAGTTCTCGCAGGACACGGCTAGGTTTGTAAGCTGCATTGATCAATAAAGTGAGAACCTACAGCGAGGGAAGGAAGAGAAGAAAATACACTTAAGTGTACAATAAATCTGTTTTAAAGTGCCAGGGTAGAATAGGAAATTACTTCTCTTCATCCAAATTATCTAGTATCAAAGCACTCATTCACAGCAGGATTAAAGATACCGCCCAATACTGCCAAAATGAAAACCACGAGCAGTCGACACTTTGGGCCTTGCCAAACCTTCAGAATTTGTCTGCAGGGTCACGAGTGTATCTAGCAACTTCCAAGTCATTGCCCTTGAATTACATGTCACTGAATTAAACCCCACAGATGAACACTACAAAACTTGCATAACCTTAGGTAAATCTGGGTGATTATCTTAGAGATTGTTTGACATGTGAAGATGTGCCAAAAATGCCGCAGGATTTTCCTGCCTGCCAACCCACTACATGCTACAATATCATACTGCAGAATCTTAAGCTCTCCTCTATTTTACTTTCATGAACCATGATAAGGCCTGTCCTAGAGTAAAATGAGAATTTCTCTGGTGCTGAAAAGTAACTCAAACTTGTGATTAGCCTGAAGTTAGTGGGAGATAGTACAAAATGTGCATTCAAATTGTACTTCTTTTCAGTAAGTGCTTATTCTAAATCATTCCCCAACTGCGTGCATCAAAACCCTGACACAACAAACTTGCAGCTTCAGTTCTACTAATGCAGCAGTCCAGAGGTCTAGAGTCCAAAAGAGTATTAAATATAATGCAAGTACCAAACTCACTCTAGGATTCATACATTGAACAAGAGTCATATTGGTTGAACTTTTAGCAAGACTCAGCATCTGTACATCAGCAGGATCTGTGCATACTTTATGCTTTCAGGCAGTGAAGCAGGTTAAACCTTCAAGGTTAAATTAAGCTGCTGCAGAATTTCAAGCTTGCTCTTTTGGAGTGCTGCAAAGCTTACATCAGAGTACTGAAACCTGCAGAAATCTGGGGTACTTTTCTGTATGCAAAAACGTAACTTTTTCAATAATCAGCTTGACTCTTGTCAACTGGACTCTTGCTTTACAGCACGTCTGCCAGAAAGTCTTTCTTAAGGTCTCTCCCAGTTATGATACATGGTAGGGAATTTTAAAAATTACAGAGATGTTGAGGCAATTCCTGCATTTAAAGTGATGATTTCATGATAGCTCAAGAGTGCACATATAGGATGCCTTGGGAAACTTTCAGCCCCTTAGGTCAGATAATCATAGAATCATAAAGGTTGGAAA